TGTATGGGGTGCCATCTGGGTTCAAAATCTCACCATACGGTAGCGAGCAACGGATCTCCTTTTGGCGGAGTTCCTTATACCTAGGCAGGGCCTGTCGTCTAGCAATCTGCTGTTGCTTGGTCAGGTCGTTGTTCACGTACACATCTTGATCATTCAGTTTCAAATCCAGACGTTTACGGTACACTGACAACTTGGCCTCGTGGCTTTTCATGCGTAGCCTCACTGGCCTGGCCTTGCCCTGTACGGCTTTGCTGGCGGAACCAATGCGCTCTGCAGAGAGTATTTGGTCAGCACTAATCTGGAGGAGCTGCTCACATCTGGATGACAGTGCTACGCTGTCCTCATTGTCCGCTTCGGGGATGCCCCTGAGAATAAGGTTTTCCGACCTCTTCACCCTCTCTACCTCCTCTGCTATGACCTCGGCAAGCTGCGTTGCACTGTGGCTCCCAGCTGTCTGCCACGCGTTTCCACGTGGTGCATTGCTTTGCACCGCACTCCTGGTACGGTACGCAGGGTCATCATCTCGAGTACGGAAAGTCCTCTCCATCTCCTCCACTCTCACTTCAAACTTCGTCAGCTTCTCTCTCAAGGAGCGATTTTCCGCCATTACACTTTCTAGCTTCAGGGAGATTTCTTGAAAGATGCTGTTTACTCTCATACTCATATCCTTCTGCTCCCGCAATATCTCGTTTAACGTGCTGCGCATGGACGCAGTGTCGTCCTGTTCCGCCTGGCTCCCGTCATAACAGGTGTTGTCAATTTGCTGTCGCAGGCCGTCAGGAGGCGAGCGATCCGCCGCGGGAGACTTTCTGCTCAACCTCTCAGGAGTTTGGCGAAGAGAAGACGACTTCACACCTGGAACTGCTACTGGCAGCCTGCTTGGCTGACTGGCTGGCATGCTGGGGGGGAACAAGGGGGGACTTTGACCAGAGCTCAAAAACCTGCAACAAGTTCCTACGTCACAAATCCAGTCCAATTGTTTGAATAAAGTACACAAATGTCGGTTCAGCTACTTCCTCCGCGTCATCGAAATTGTCGCAGTTTGACTAGTGACTTGTCACTTGTTACTGACAACTCCATAAACTAAGCCATTCGAAACTTATTACACAGTATGATAGTCTGAAGACTAGAGTAACGTTCTAGGACAATTGGACTGAGAGTTTTCATGCAGAGATGAAGTCCTCATCGTCGCTGATGTCAATGGACGCAAAAATATCGTTCCCAAATATTTCAACGTCAGGCGAAATTACTGGTCAGTCGGCGTCACGCATTTTTCACAAAAATTTGCGTTTCACCTGCTGGGAGAGTATGCGTGTACTCGAGTCTCATCCTGAGCACGTTTTTTTCTTTCTTTTTTCAGCTCCAGTATAGCTGTATTTTTCATTGCAAAGCCCTCCTCGATTGATGTGTTCGTTGTTCAAACGAAGTGGACATTCAATCATGAAGGCAGAGGACATATGAGCCTGATTGGAGTTTCTCGTGGCATAGGACGGCCACACAGAGACACTTTGGGATTTTCTGAATATAAAATACCGTACGCACGATGCTGAGATCAATTTGTGCGATATCAAATTGTTTGTGATCTACCACATCGAGCAGAACGGGATCCAAACACAAGCTTACCGACGGTTAGGCTGCCGACCTGACTGGACAAATGATCCCTGGCTTCAACAGACGCCAGAAGTCGGACACCATGTCCTTTGCCGCGCCGTCCATCTCCAAAAAGAACTCCATCTTCGTCGTGAAAAGGCTTGAAATACTCAATATTCAACGGAGATTCGCGGTCTCACCCTTTCTCAGATCGAATCATTTTTTGTTGTAGCAGTTGCAGGGCAGATCCCTGCCACTACTTCAACAGAAGATGGCTCCAAAGCATGCCTGGAACAAGCCATATCGAGGTTGCAAGCCACCCCTCTCAGCACTTTTTTCGAAGAAATTCGAAATTTCAGTGGTGGAAGATATACTATGAAGAGAATTTCAAAAAGTATGTTTCGCGGATCGATCGCTCAACCTACGTCATTCAAACTTTGCAGGATGGTTCAGACGTACATGCTAGGCATGGAACCACAGAAGATGATATCATAGCTGACACACAGAGTCACACACACAGCAGATTCGTGTGCACAGATACTGAATTAGTGGACGTCGTCATCTTCTTCCCGCTGATCTCAAATGTACTATGACGTGCTATTTCGCCTGACGGGAAGGTTGAAAGTTGGTCGCGCCTCATCTCAAACGCTTTGACTTTCTCCACAGGACAAGAGCTGCTATGCTTGTCGTCTGCTAGCTCTGGATGATTTCTACTTCACCACCAACGAAGCCTAGTAAGAATACACGATCGTTGCGAGGTCGGTTGATTACCGTCGGCGGAATCACCTCGGAATCACCTCGATCTTGAAAATAATGAACTTTTTTTTAGCCGTGGCATGCCCACAGCTCATGCAGGTAAGTGTAGTATCACGTCCAGCGCGCCCTCTTTTTCAGCACTGGTATACCATGGTACGGCACCTGCGCGTGCATCACTAGCACTACGTGTAGAGTCTACACGGCTCTTGCAGGTACAATCATGTACTAGTAGTAGTACTGAGTGTCTCAGCCAGAGCGACAAATTTTATCGCTGTTGCAGGCATTTAGTTTGCCGACCCCTCGATGTTTCTCCAAGCGCTGCCACTTGTTCCACGAAGTCATTCTCACCCCAGCTAAGGTAAAGCAGTGATGGGGCTTGAGTGAATGGCCATAAGCACGAGAAATGTGCAGGCTGCAACACCTGACTGATCTCAGCGAGTCGAAATTACCAGCGCAGCGACATCAGCGAAGAAATTGCGTCTAGTTCAAAAATTCCAGCTTCCAATAACAGAAAATAGAACTTTGCCGTCACCCTATACTGATGACTATCGCCTATGTCCGATCCATTGCCTCTGGTACGAGTGCTGGTGAGTAAATACCGCATTTTACATCAAAAGTCAAACTGCGACAATTTCGATGACGCGGAGGAAGTAGTTTTATTGATTGCGGTTATCAAATTGTTGTCTCCTCGCCGTGTGTTTAAATATTTTAAATCGAGATACACCCAGCCTCAGATAGATTTTCTGAATCTAACGCTGAAAGCACGTTTTCATTACCGTAGTGTCGCCCTTAATGTAGTTTTTCTTAGACGGTGTTTAGACAATGGCGTATGTCCTAGCGGTGTAGAAAAGCGTGTTCACCGAGCCAAGGCATACCACACGTTGAGATTGCCAGGTCCGGTGACACGGTTCCCTACACCATTTCTTCATATTTTCATCGTTTTATTGCACATCGTCTCCACCGTTTTTTACATTGCATGATGTGTTATCACGTTGTCTTTCCTTCCTTTCTCCTTTGTTCATTTCTCGCTTTGATTGTTAAAAATTCACACTTGTAAATTTCACTGTTGTTGCTCTTAGTGTTATTTCTCTATAATAGTTCAATTTTTGTTTCAGTGTCCTTTAGTACAACGACGATTCCTGATGAGTGTTGTACGAAAAATTGTTTGAATAAAGTACACAAATGTCGGTTCAGCTAGTTTTATTGATTGCGGTTATCATACTGTTTTCTTTCCTTTCATTTCATCTTCTTTTCCGTTCCTTTCTTCTTCATACACATTTTAAACATTTTCATCATATTGTGAGAGCCGTGGGCCAATAGCCCCGGTGAGAAGGCAGTCTTGCCTGTTCATATGGTGAAGTAAAATAAAGAAACAACAACAACTCTTCAAGTAATACACACGCACCATTACATTCATTCACACAGTATCACATTCATCTGCCACTACCTTTCTCACATACACTATATTCACACATTGCAAAGGTGCAAACTTCGCTTTTTGTACTTGTTAGCTGCTGTATTTCTACCTGAAACCATATTAGCTACATGTATATAAGTGTGTGTTTTAGTTATTACATTTTTATGTGACGGCGTTCCACTGATGACAGTCACACGAAAACGTTATGGAACTTGACTTTCTTCATTTTTGCTGCTGTTATGAGTGCACAATTTATCTTATTTATTGCCATTTTACGATTATTGTCTCCTCGTCGATTGTTTGGCCAGTATGACTACTATTATGGAGTATTCACTTCGTCTTGGGGTTTAGACATGGGGAAGGCGCCATACAGGGGTGGTGAGCCTGCCTTTCGGCACCGGGAATACAGCTAGCTCGACTCTGTCTCTACTGAGTGAAGAGAGTGATTTTAAAAGATTGATATGAGCAAATACAGTGGCATCATGAAAGAATAAAACCAAGAGTATAGTTATAAGCCCCCTGGGGGTTATGTTTTCTTGATTAAACTATATGCTCGCTCATATCACAACCATAGCAACGAATAAAGTGTTACGGAACGTTTTCGTTGCTATGGTTGTGATGTGAGTGCGCATATAGCTTTATTCATTTCATTAAGATGATTGTCTCGACGTCACCTTTTTAAATATCATGGAAGACTTGGGGTTATACTAGTGTACTCCTGAAGTACATGCCGAAGGAAGTTTTTGAATTGACGAGATTCCGCTTAAAACAGTTCGAAATGAGAGAGCCGATGCTCACTTCCACGTGAAAATTCGCCTGCGGTGCTCTTCAGGCACTAGCCGTGCAGCAGATTCGTGTGTATATTCAGGAATATCAGATGATTGAGCCTTTCCTGGAGGGTTGTGCCGCATAAGTAGGACTCGACCCTCCGCATGGCTGATAAAGAGCTTGCTGCATTATATTTCTTGATGTAACATTGGTCCGGCTGCCGCCCGACCTGCCGGACATGTTCCTATGCCCCGGACCCGTGGGTCCTTCTTGCTACAAAAGGTGAAAAGAGACTAAAGGGTCATGCACGTTCAGGGAAATTCCCCAAGCTACAGTCTAGACGAGTCCTTGTCAGTTCACCAAACAACCTTGATCCAGCATTGGATTGTTCAAACTTTTGCAAAAGAAGGATCCACAAGCGTGATTCGCATCACACACACTCATGATTACTTACTTCTACAAAACTCACTGGTACTTGGCTGCCGTCCATGCTTGCCCACGAAGGCTGTTGCTGCTGTTGCTGCCGATGGCGTTGCTGGTGCGCTGGCTGTGGCTGCTCCTGGGGTTACTCCCGGGAATAAGGTGATGCTTGCGACCGCGCTGGTGAACCGCCAGACCACCCCTGAGATCTCTACAAGGAACGGAGAGATAACCAAGAACATAATTCACCACAATATATGAAGCGAGTAGCGCATTCACCATGCACATCTTTTGCGAGAGGTTGATAACAGGATTAGGATATTTTCAGAACAAATTCACCATGCATATCAAGAGCTGGAGCACATAATAAAACGGTGCCAACTAGCGGGTATTTGGGTCACACTTACCGTATCACTATTATCAAAGATACTGTAAAATGGGTAACGTTTGCGACAATAAATGTTTGCGTTTTACAAATTGAGAATGGTTTGCGCAGTTTAATGTTTGCGATTGAATACACATTGAATAGATACTTCTTTGAACGTTACACGGTGCGAGTTTGCGTCGTTCAAAGTTTGCGATTCGGGGCCTCTCGCAAAATTCGCAAACATTTTTACGTCGCAATAGTTGCCCGTTTTACAGTATCACAAAAATCACATAGGTCCTTGCAATGAAGGATGACACGACATCATCACAATTAGGAGTTTCATGCCCAGCTGGCAATCACAAGGTGACTAATTTGATACAGGAAATGCCTGGACTATCCCCATTTATACAGTAAGATAGTCCAGTATGGCGCTAGGCCTGAGGCGAAAGTTGCTAAGCGTGAACAGGTAGGTTAGAACTTAAGGGAGGGGGGGGGGGGTGCTAGCTTGTGGATGCATTTGCTGACCCACTGGGCATGGTGTTGCTCAAAAGTGATACAATTTGTGTAGAATGGATGGTAATATACGAGGCGCGGCTACACAGCCAGGGAGTGTGAGAACAGGCTTACTATTGCCACTAGCTTAGGAGGTGCTGCACCACGTGATGATACTGAAGCCCATTTTTTAGGTAGCAGCAGCAACTAATTACTTGTTCATGTGGAAACATTTGGGGACAAGCTCTATTCCACTACAGGTGGTATTTAGTCTGTTTTGCTCGCACACCCCCCCCCCCCCCCCCTCTCCCCTGACCGTGGTACCTGCACCCTCTCTTTTACTCTCCATTTTGCACCAATTTTAGCACTTCTGAGCAGTGAAAGATAGAGATCTGATTTACAGTAGCATGTGCTGCAGGGAGTTAAAATGTTTATTCATTATTCGTTCATCACTTCGACTAGCCTGCATCCAGTAGCAACTGACTTACTTCTGTGGCTTTCAGGTTCACCCATCGCTATGTCTTCCACGTACTCTGGTTTGTTCAAAGTGTAAGGCCAGACTTACAGTACTTTGACGGACTTTCCGTAAATGTATCACCATAGCATCCTCGGCTACTCAACAATCGTTCCATTCCTTTTTCCTCAAAAAATTATTATACTGCTAGCCGTACAAATCTCAGGAAGCATACACGCCGGTTGGGGTGCGACATTGGAATAAAAGTACGACGACAACAAAGACAAGGGAGAGGCAAGGGAAATGCGAAGGTGAGAGGTGGAGAGCCAGGTTCTCAATATTTTTGGTTTCTACGAGTACGACACCCCAATGCAGAGCAACGACGGAGTCTTTTATGTGTGCTCGCTTCTACATGTAGATCTACATGATCTACGTGCTTCTCGTCTTAGTTCGTTCTACAAAGCGCCTTAGGTATCATGGAAGCATGTACTGTCGTGGACATGGAAATCCGGTCGCACGTCTAGCGGCCCCAGGGCGCTGGCCATGCAGCCGTGGGTAAGCAGTACACACATGCTGCAGCGCGCTGGACGCATCGGATCAAGCGCTGGTTTTTTCCCGGTCTGGATTTCCATGTTCACGACAGAAGAAAGATAGTGGCCTGCTTTTGCACAAAGCCTGGCATCACATTTCCAGGAAGCTAGCGCTTCCACGAAGCGTAAAACGCGAGAACCTACTCTCCAGACTGTACAGTCTAGTCCTGCATGTAGATAACGATTATTTTACTGTCTTGACTAGGCCTCGACCAAATATGCTTGCGCATATTTCCGCATATTTTGTAAGACAGTTCATATTATGGCATATTGAGCGAGAAAGGGAATATTGGAATTAAGCCAGCATATAATTCAAATATTCTGAAGAAAATGAGGACAAAACATTCATGTTATGGACAAAATGCGTTCAGAAATGCCTTTTATGGATGAATTTGGAATGGTTGAGGCGTTTGCTACATTTCCCCAGGGATGAACACTATCGCTACGGTTGCTGGGGACACACACCAGCCATACTATTCTGCATGTGTTTTAATTTACACCATAAGCATGATAGCCGTGAAGCCAATGAATATTCCAAGGTTGTAATTTTACTGAAATGATCTACACTTTCTGCTTATGTCGAGCATATTCTGGCATATTTGGGCATATCTTTTTGCATATCTTGCTAAGCCTTTGGCATTATTAT